AAAAAAAAAAAAAAGGGTTCATGAAAGGGAATGGCAAGAACTAAGGTGGGAAAAGTAAGTTAGGACCAGACATGGGAGTACCACAAATGACAGAGTAGAAGGTTTATATTCTGCAGGCCAGGAGAGACCACTGAAAACTTTTACATGGGAGAAGGTGATCCGAGGAGTCTAGTAGGAGTCCTCTGCTTGAAAAAATAAATAAATCTGTCAACAATTCGTCCATACCGTTTTCAATTCTATCACTGGAAATTACCATCTTTTAAGGCATAACCTCTCTAGGAATCTACTTAATATCCAAATTCTCCTGAGAGATAATAAAAAAAGCTGTTGTCATTCATTTATACTTTAGTGTAAACTGGATAATCAATTCACCTTCTCCTAGCTAGAGTTAAGTACACAGAGCCATTGGGAAAATAAGAATTTTGACTGCAGACAGAAGTATAACTTTTTGACTCTGAGACACCACCCCATTGGAAAGACAGAGTCTGGGGTGCAAACAAAACAAAACAAAAAGAGATTATCTAATTAATACCCTTACTTAAGAGCCAATTCTGTTTTTTTTTTTTTTTTCCAAAAGCAGAACTTAGTAAGGATAAATAAAAGATATTATAATCTCCCATAGTAGGAAGTATTCAACTGATGACAAGGAAGGTGAGAAATATGATAAACTAACCATTTTTGAAGGAAAGAAAAAAAAGTTTTGTGGAATTTAGACACTACATACTAAGTTCTTTGAGTTTTCCTCAAAAGAGGCAAGTAAAGACTTTACCTAGATCACATTCAACCACTTTATGGAACTGTGGCGAACAGTTAATAATCCAAGGAATATGATGCTGCAAGAATATTTTTTTAAAAAGGTTAAAAATCCACCCAAATGATGTTATGTACCAAAAGTGATCATCAAGCTGATAATAACAACCATATGATAACCCTGGGAATTCCATTCAGATGTAATGGAAATCAGGCATCTCATTGGGATGGTTTTCTGCTTTCTAAAATTCATATCCTCAATCTAGGCCGGGGAACGCTCATTTTGCTGGCGGGTTAGGCGATGGGGCGCAAGGAAAACCCTGGGACGCGTGGCCGCAGACGTCCACCAGGTTCCCTACGTAAAGCGGGTAGAATAGGCACTCACCGCTTGTCGATGGCGTCGATGTTTGAATGGAGGAGCCATAGCTCCTCCGTGTTGTCCTGCCGGGAGGACAGGATCAGGTGGTGACCAGTCAGACACAAGGTCCCTTCGACGGCGGGATAGAAAGGCCGGTGCAGCACCACATTGTCCACCCGTGGGGTCTTAATCAGCTCCGCAAACTCCATGTTCCCCCGCGGCCGGAGCCACGGGACTGCGGAGGCCCGGAGGTCCGAGGCGGTCACGCCGCCGCAGGGCTGGGGAGGAGAATGACCCGGCTCCCGGCCGACCGGAGGGGCGGGGAAGGGGCGGGGAGGCCGGGCCCCGCCCCAGGCTCGGGTGGGCGCGGCGAGGCCTGCGGTCACAATCACTGGCCGCGGGAAGACGAGGGCTGGGGCTGGGCCAGGCCCGGGCGTCCCTCTCGCACTCCCGGTGCCCCCAGGCCCAGGTCTCGGGCGAAGAGAACGCTCCGCGACAGGCCCAGCAGCCGCCGCCGCCACCTGGGGACCCGGCCTCTGCTGGGCAGGCTGAAGGGAGAAAGAGGAGGCCGCTTTGTGGCCAGTTTCCAGCACCGAGCTGCTGGGGACTCCTGGCGGAAGTAGCTGCTGGGAGCCGGAGCCTAGGGTAACTGTGGGCGGAAGCGGTGGAGCTCGAAACTCGGAAGACAGGGAAGTCAGAGCCGGAAGTCAGTCCCCTCCCCAAGAGGGTGCTTCCGGAAACACAGACCTACAAGATTTGTGTTCCTACCAGGAAAAGGCTCTTTACGTTCATGTCCACCGCCGTACCTCCCATTCCTCCAAATATTCCATATCAGAAAAGGCCGGGGAAGATGGAACGACGAGAAGAGATCCTTGTCTGCCTCCCTGCACTTGAGTAGTAATCCCTCCTCCAAGGGCTCTTCATAGCGTGGAGCTGTCGTTAATTGTGATGATTTTCGTCCATTCGCCGTGAGATGACAAGTGTGGGATCGAATGAGTGATTGTGACCGTAGAGAATCCTACAGGTGTAAGGGAGAAACCCAGCGCCGGGCGCTGCTGACTCCCAGAGAGCGCCGCGCCAAGGTTCTGTGACCTTGAGCAAGGAAAAGGAAAAGCATGCAAACACCTATGAGAGGGACCTTGGTAGAAATAACATACAATGCACAGAAGAGGAAAAGATTAATCTTATCCAGTGAGGAAGCTCAAGTGACTTGCTAAAACCGTTAATCTGTAGCAGAGACTGGACTTTAGTCTAGATCTATGAAATCAAGGTACTGGGGCATTGACACCACCACACAGCCTCCCCATTAGATACAGTGCCACCGAACTACTCCCAGATACCTAAATTATGCCGGAAATTTACTTAAATTAGTTCTCTTTGCTTAGTGCCCTCCCCCAAACTATTTTCATTATAAAATAGAGAATTAGAGGGGAAATATGCAAGGGTTTGAGTCCTGGTCTGCTGTCAGTCCATTAACCTTTGAAATCCCCACCATCTAGTACCTAAGGACAGCTAGTAAGCTAAAGTCTCACAGCAATCAAAGACAAAGTTAATCGCCTAAAATCTCACCAGATCAACCACCAACAGTGTCCTTGCGTGTGCCCTTGCCCTTCCTAAAATCTTCCCTTATTAAAACAAAAACACTTTATAAGATTGTTACAGCTGAGAGGCCAGCTTTATTTGTCCGCAAAAGAAAAAAGGAACCAACAGAAAAAGGAGAATGAGGGAATTGGTTTATAAAGCTATTTTTTAAACTGGGATTTTTGTTGTCCTTCCACTTTGTGGCTCGTTATAACAATTACCAATTGAGAATTTACTTCCAGAATAAAGAATCAGGGAAAGTTTTGTGGAGAAGGTATCATTTGAAACAATGACCTTGAAGGATGAGTAAGATTTACACCCTGAATGGAATGTAGCCAATATGTCTTGTCTTAATTTAATGATGTCTACTAGAGGTAGGGGAAAATTCTCCAAAAATTCCGTGACCTTTTCTTTTAGTTTAACTGAAAACAAACAAACAAAAAAGCCTATGAAAAAACCATTGTGTCATTACATTTAAAAATGTTTAATATTCCATAAAGGCATAAACTTTCTGCCCACAAGAGAAAATTGTGAGTATCATGCTGGATTGCTATAAGGAAACACTGGAAACTATTAGAAAATTGCATCTACTCTGGGTTTAAGCTCAAAGCAAAGGAAGCCCCTGAGATCTGCAGAAAACAAATATTCAGTAGCAAAGAATAGAGGGGATGCAGATCATGTGAATTTAGTAAGTACATGAACAGTAGATGGCAGTAGAGCTCGACGGTAATAGGGTAGGCTTCCATTCTATTAATTCAATGAGGCTGTAGTCAAACAAGTTTTTTTTCCTTAAGATTTTTATTTATTTATTAGAGAGAGAGAGCATGAGAGCGGGGAGGGTCAGAGGGAGAAGCAGACACCCCACACCGAGCAGGGAGCCTGATGTGGGACTCGATCCCAGGACTCCAGGATCATGACCTGAGCCAAAGGCAGTCGCTTAACCAACTGAGCCACCCAGGCGCCCCAAGTCAAACAAGTTTATTATCCAAACTGCCTGGATGCGAGGGTCTCAGATGATTCAGATAAATAAAAGAAGATGATGGCATTTATTTCTTTTGAAAGATGTACTTGTTTATTTTAGAGAGCGCAAACGGGAGGGAGGGGAAGAGAAAGAATCCTCAAGTAGACTCCCCACTGAGCATGGGGCCCAACATGAGGCCCAAGAGTCCATCCCAGGACCCCCGAGATCATGACCTGAGCCAAAGTCACGAGCTGCCCACCCAACCGACTGAGCTACCCAGGTGCCCCAATGATGGCATTTATAATGCAAGTAAAACACTCAACACCTTACAGGCATTATTATTTTAATCATTTTATGAGATAATAAATGGCATTAGTGTGTAATCATCTTATTCTATCAAATAGTCACCTAGCATGTATTAAGTGCCTACTTGGTCATCAGCACTCCGGGGAAGAGAAACAATAGATCTGACACAGCCCTTGCCCTCAAAAAATAATAGCTACTTTGGGAAGGCCAACACACTCTACACAACTAATGAACAAAAAATAAGAGAGTAAGTGCTAACTTTTGAAGTACAGATTTACTTTCCTGGCTCTGTGTTTCTCTACTAGAAGTTGGTAGAAATTGAGAGTTTGAAGGTAGTTTGAAGAAAGCAGGTCAACAATTGCCAAAAGTAGCAAGAGCATCTAAGATGGAGAAGACATTGCCCATATGTGCCACTGGTGAGCAGTTGTTCTCCATATGCTTGACTGTTAGCGGCTGCATCGAACTTAATAACCTCGTGCCTGTCTTCCTTGTGTTCTCCATCCTTCACCCTCCAATCAAATCAATCACCAAGTTGTTGATCTGATCTTCTGATAGTTCTTGAATCCCCCACTTCTCCCCATCCCCAAGGCCATTGCCATAGTTCAGGCCACCACCATCTCTCACTGTACTTAAGGGGGAAAGCCTCTCAGTTGGTCTCATTTCTTCCAGTGGGGTTTCCCTCCAGACTCTTTTCTCCATTGGCAGCTAAAGCCCTTTATACTGTTCTAAATTTTGTTTTTCTTTTCTTGTAAGTCCCTTTATGATCTAGCTCCTTAGGTGGGGATCAGTATCACAGTTACCTCTTCTGCTCTCTCTCTCTCTACCTGGCACCACAGCTCCCAACCATTTCCAGCAGTTTGCACACTAACTCTCCCTAAATAGCTTACAGTTTCCTTTTGAGATTTTGCACCCAGTTAGAACCTTGCTACCGAGTGGAAGCGTAGAACAGAGACCAGCATCATTAGCATTCCCTGGGAACTTTGTTAGAAATGTTTCACTCCAGAGCAACTGAATCAGAGTCTGCACTTGAACAAGATTCCTAGATGATTTTTCTGCACATGAAAGTTTGAGAAAGCAGTGTTTTAAAGAATCTGGTTGTTCTTTCTGCCTGGTATACATCTACCTCACTCGCAATACCTTGCCCCTTGACCTGCTAATTCCTATCATCCTTCAGATCTCCTCTGAGATGTCACTGCCTCTAGGACGCCTCTCCTGATTCCACACCTCATGGGCTCCACATTATATAGGCTCCACAGCACTATGTAATAATAATAACAGTTCTGGGATGCCTGGGTGCTCTGTCAGTTAAGCGACCAACTCTTGATTTCAGCTCAGGTCATGATCTCAGGGTCCTAGGATGGAGCCCCATGTCACACTCCGAGCTCAGCACAGAGTCTGCTTGTCCCTCTCCCTATGCTCCTCCTCCCACTCTCTCTCAAATAAATAAATAAAATCTTTAAAAAATAATAATAATACTTCACACTTTTGAGTGTTTATTCTGTGTTTCAGACATTGTGCTAAATGCTTTGCATGCATTGGCCCATGTAGCTCTTGCACAATTCTCTGAGATTAGTTAGTATTCTCCTTTTACCAATGAGAAAACTGATGCACAGGATCTTAATAGCTTTTCCAAGGTCAGAGAGCAATAAGTGGTAGAAGCAGGATTCAGACCCAAACAGTTGGGTGCAGACTCTGAGCTCTTCACCACCATGCTACATTGGCACCCATGAGAACTGAGCCCACCTTCGTTGCTCTCTCTAATCTTACCTCTTAATAAACTATATTGAAATAGACTCCTTACATGTCATAACATTCCACTAGACAATAACCTCCTTGAGAGTAAGGACCATTTCTTGATAGTAGTATGCTCAGCATCCAGCTTAGTGCCTAGACATAGTAGCCACTCAATATACATTTGTTGAAAAGACACCCTGTATTTTACTGAACACATTTCACCCTGGCCTCTCCTCCCACCACCCCAATCTGACTGACTTTAGATATTTTTTTATTATGTTCAGTTAGCCAGCATACAGTACATCATTAGTTTTTGATGTAGTGTTCCATGATTTATTTGCGTATAACACCAAGCACTCATTACAACACATGCCCTCCTTAGTACCCATCACCAGGCTTACTCTATCCTCCCACCCCCCCTCCCCTCTGAAACCCTCAGATTGTTTCCCAGAGTCCATAGTCTCTCATGGTTCGTCTCGCCCTCTGATTTCTCCCCCTTCAGTTTTCCCTTCCTTCCCCTAATGTCCTCCGTCCACATATGAGTGAACCCATATGATAATTGTCTTTCTCTGCTTGACCTATTTCACTTAACATAATCCCCTCCAGTTCCATCCATGTCAGTGCAAATGGTGGGTATTCATCCTTTCTGATGGCTGAGTAATATTCTATTGTATATATGAACCACATCTTTTTTTTTTTTTTAAGATTTTGTATTTATTTATTCGGGA